TTGTTGCAGAAACAAGGATGCATTCCTACATAAAGGTCTATAAATAACTATCCCAAAAAAACATCAGGGACTTTCCACAATTGAGGCCAAAATGTTAGTTTGCTTATCAAAATAAAATAGAAAAATAAAGGAAAAGAGAAGAAAAAGAGTGCATGGCAAGAAAACTAAATTGGAGAGAGGAAGCATGATGCTACACGAAAGCATGAAAATGTAAAAAATGAAATAAAAACTAAAGTATAAAACTAAATTTAAAAGAAGCTAGGAAGATGAATTTAGAGCAAAGTACAGTAAATTGAATTGCAGGAAACTAAATACATTAGTGGAGATGTCCACAACAAAAAAGTAAAAACTAGAGCAAAAACTAATGATAGCGTAGAGTTAAAGACTAAACTAGGAAAACTGTTTGTAAAAGTTAGATCTAAACTAAGACATTGCTTGTAAAATTGAAATGTAGATAGCACTGGGTTAGTTGTATGAGAGGCAAGTTTTGTTTGCTTGATCTTATTGTCGATTATTTATAGAAAATTGATAGCAAGGTGGACTTCTGCTAGCAACATCTTGAAACCAATGGTAGCATGAAATCTACAACAACCTCTTGAATAAACGACAGTAAGGTATAGAGTTACAACAAAATCTTGAAAATTAACGGCAACATACTAAAGATTGGCAACAAACCAACTAATCTGCTAACTATGTGGTAACAACCATCCAAGCAAATCTATAGATAAGACTACAGCTGCTAACTCTTGACTCCTTTAAATTCAAAACAAATGAGACATGTGGTTCCTTCTAAATAATTTGCAAAAATGGGTGTAAACAGGAATTGATAATTTCTTCCTCTGATAAGCAATTGATTTTAGGGTATGTTTTGCTCAATAGGAGGGAAAGGGAGAAAAGAGGAGACAATTCATTTATTTTTTTACCATAAATTTTTTTTCAAAAAAAAAGAGAGGAAAATCTTTTACTTTATTTTTTATTTTTTTCTTTATTTAAATGAGAGAAGGTGTATCCTTCCATTTCTTTTCCCTAACCTTTTTTTTTTTCTCTCAAATTAAACTTTCCATAACTTGTTTTTAAACCTCAAACTAAAATCCAAACATACCATAATATTGGCAGAATTAGAAACAGTTTCTTTTTTTTTTTTTTAATAAACAAAGTTTTTCTGTTAATATTCCCAATTTAGAAGGACTACAAATTTAAAAAAAGAATTGATTTGGAGGGTGCCCAAAAGGGCTAAAACCCTTCCATTATCCTCCCCAAATCCCTTTCTATCCAAATTAGGTGTGGAGACCATTATCCTTAACTCGGTTGCCCTTCCTTTTTCCACCCCTTTTTCCTAATCCAAATCTGATTACTAAAGAATGTGTCTTAATAATTCCACACTAAAAAAAGAGCTACCATGCATTCACAAGATTAGAATTTTTAGTATATATAGTTAATATTTTTTAAAAAATTAACTATTAAACTATTTGTTTTATTAATGTAGAATGCAAGTCTTTTTTTTTTTTTTTTTTTGAATTAAGGTCAAGTTTCATATTAATTAAATATATTTATGTTATACCCTAAATTGAGTCCTATGAGAATTAAGACACGTGGAAACATCCTAAAAATAGTCCTATCAAGATTAGATAAGTTAAATCTCACTAAAGTTAGAATACCCAAACACCAATCAAATAGAGTTGTATTTCTAGGATAACTTTATGTAAACATTCTATAAATACCTCAAGAATAAACCTAGGGAGGTAGATTATATTCTCAACTTTTTCTCCATTGTAAACTCTCTGTACTCTTGATCAATAAAGTACTTGGTTCTACACCATCTCTTCTATTTTTTAGTGTTAACATTTGGCGCCCACCATGGAGTTGAGTTCTTTTTGATCTATGAATACCACATGGTGAATCTTGTTAATGAAAATTTGCTGTTGCCATACATGGATACTTCAAGTTTAGGGAACAATGGAGAAACAAGTGGTTTTCTTCCTCTGGGATGAATTTCAAAAAGGTACCAAATGGAGCAATACCAAGAGATCCACCGTTGGCATCACAAGTCAAGAGGTTTGAGCAAGATATGGTAGATACAAGGCACAATTTGAGAGCAATCAAGCAAGCTGCAACTTCTTTGATGGATGCTATAAATATTTTAATGCAACACAGGTTCAAGACAGACATCTCAAAATGCTACATGCACAAATCTTAAAAGAAAGCTATGATCCCAGCTAAGTATATTTACTTTTCTAAACAATTTTTTAATTTCCAATCTTAATAATCATGCAAGTCATTGTGTTTCTAAGAAAACTAACTTTTTTCTTGAGAAAATTTTGGGAGAAGGCCACATAGGCCAAAAAGGTTCGAGCATAGGAATTTAATTACAGGATGCATAGGTCTAACTAAAGATATGAGACAAAAATGGACATGAGTGGAGATTTAAAGGAGTAGCATACAGAACATATTGATTGTATGAAACCTATGATATTGGACTCAAAGAAACGTAGAAGTACAATAGATATTAGAGCTGATATAGATCTAGAGTTTACCACACGTTTAGAGGAATGTTTGAGAGATTATAAAGATGTGATTGCATAAAGTGTAACAGACATGCATGGAATAGATTCCAAAGTTACGTGTCACAAGATCTCGTGTGGAGCTTGCCATACCGATACTCTAAGTTGCAATAATTTTGGATTCCTAATTCTTTGGATTATATGAATCTTCCATCCAGCAACCCCCAAGCCACCTCTATGATATTCACTGATTGATTCATCAACAAGTATCACAAGATAAATGGCAAAGGTTTCCACAAACTTAACATCTACCATCAAATCCTCTGCATGTGAAGTTGTGGCCAAAACAACAAAAATGGAAATCAAAGAATTTGAGAGAATACACATCATACGCAGGATCAACATACCAAAGATACTAACTATAAACCATGTATTGCTAGCAAAGCTTTCAAAGACTTCTAATCGGGCACAAAATTTGGAAATAAGAAGATCATGATCAAAGCATAGCTTGAAAACAAAGGAAAAATAATTGAACAAATTGGGACATTGTGAAAGATTGAGATCTTAGAAAAAATTCCAAAAAAGGAAAGTTGTGCCTAAACTGAGAAGGTTCATACATCTACAAAGAAAATTTGGGAAACAAAGCTTTCAAATCATCCCAATGTAACCTTAGTTCCAAGGACCTAAAATGTTGCGCACCTTAAAAGCAAAGATTCATTTTGCATTGCTAAAAACCACTTCTAAGTGGAACATAGCTTTAAGAGTAAGATCTTGGCTGTACACATCTTTGCTCACTTCTATGCAACATAGAGCTTCAGTATCACTTTTAAGTGATCCAAAGCTTTAAACACTAGACACGGTGAAAAGAATAATAACACACGAAATTATAAAGTTATTCTTAAAGCTCTAAAATCTGGATAAGACAAAAACATGCTTAAGTAAACTAAAAGCGACAAGCAAGTTAAGGTATGCATAAATTCCCAGGCAAAAGCTATGCAAGTGAGGCTACGAAGGTTAATGCAATTCTTGATTATATGAGAGACTTTGCAACATAAACCCGTAGTAACTGATTGGGGTGTAAAGTTGTGTTTGGGCCTATCTTTTATACAAGAAAATGGAGGACATGGCATATACTAATTGATTGTTAAATTATGGATTCTCATCAACGAATGAGGATACCTTCACCATAAAGAACTATGATGGCCTATAAGACTAATAGAAAGCTGCGCATAGTTTTAAAAACTATAATTTAGTTATACTCAGCTTTAGAATATCAACAGGCCAGTAAACTAACCAAATACACGGGTTCTATTATGGTTTCGGTGAAAAGTCACAATGGCAGGCATGACCAAAACTTGAGTTAAAAACAGAGCATTTGTTTAGCAAGCAGATGTTGTCAAAACACAAAACCAAAGCATTGCAGCATAAGAATGTAGATATATATATGTATAAGATCCAAATATAACAAAACAAAAATAAAACATCCATAATAGATAAAGAAACATCAAAGTAGTGTAACCCAAATGTTTTTCCAAAAATAAATGTTCTTATATGTAGGTTCAACAAAAGGTCTGTAAAGCTAAGCCTTCGAGAAATGAGGGACGTCTTCGAAAACCTCTACATCAACAAATAAACAAAAAGACGAAAATCGCCAAAAGAAAGAAGAAAAGATCAAATGGAGAACAAAGGAAAGCCAAAAGAAAGAGAAGGTGAAGGGATTAAAAGAAAATAATAAAGAAAGAAGAAGAAGATTCGAGATCAACCACCCCTTCTCATAAAAAATCCCTTATCGAAATCCCACATTTCAAATTCAACTTTTTCAGAATTAAATGAAGAAATCTCAAGAAATCCCGCAAGTACAAAGGCCGGTACAAATCACAAGTAAGGGCTGGACATGTGTAAAAGCTTGCAAAAGGAAATGACTACACCAACAAAGAAATCTTGAAGAAAATACAAATAAAGAAATCATGATACTTGTATAGCATATGGAAGATTGACAGAAAGCATACCAAAAGTTGTGAAAATAATGAAAAACCTATGCTGTACTCTTTTTTTCTTAAGCTAGTTTTTTATCCCACAGGGTTTTTTTACTAACAAAGGTTTTTAACGAGGCAACCACAATCACAACATCTTTGCCATAAAAAGATGGAACCTTTTAAAGGCAAAGATATGAAAAGGCTAAGAAGAATTTGGAACCGAGTACAACAGCACTCTATAAAGAGAACTAAGGACTACGAGACTTGTATTGGAAATAGAACGAAGCAAGTTTTCATTACCCTCAAACTTCTTTGTTAGGGGGGCAAATGTTATACCCTAAATTGAGTCCTATGAGAATTAGGACACATGGAGACATCCTAAAAATAATCCTATCAAGATTAGGTAAGTTAAATCCCACTAGAGCTAGAATACCCAAACACCAATCAAATAGAGTTGTATTCCTAACATAACTTTATGTAAACATTCTATAAATACCTCAAGAATAAACCTAGGGAGGTAGATTATTTTCTCAACTTTCTCTCCATTATAAACTCTCTCTACTCTTGATCAATAAAGTACTTGGTTCTACACCATCTCCTCTATTTTTTGAAAAAGGCTTTCTCTCTCTTAGAGAGATAATTTTCTAGAGAGAGAAAAGAGTGTTACATCCATGATGCGTTCCCATCGAAAATCGCCCTCTGTCTCTAGTTTGCATTCTCTGGCTGTAGTTCCCTTGATTGGTGTTTCCAGCAACCCCCTGGCTCCAATACTTCAGCCAATGGATATTCTTCAAGAAAAGCTTAGTTCAGAAATCAAGAAAATGAATCCCACCTCTACAGAGGTGAATTCTTGCTCTAGGTTAGTCCCATCTCATTTGGATTCAATGTTGCCCCCTACTACTACTCCTATTTCCTAGGTTGATGCCATTGCCAATTCCGGTAAGAACAAGCTTTTGCTCCATCCTCATGAATTGCGTAATGGCAAATTAGTTGTCAAAGTTCCTCATTTTATTCATGAAGAAGGGGTTAGGTCTTGGGTGGATTGTCTTGTGGGTACATTTTTGGGTGGATCCCCTCCTTATTTTAGTGAAATTATCTTTTTGTAAACAAGCTCTAAGGGCGCAAAGGTAGAATTCTAGTTACAGGACTGGGAAATAACACGTTCTTGTTTTGTGTTCCTGATTTTGCAACAAAAGAATGGATCTTGAATTCCAAAGTTCCATGGCATTTTTCTCATAAGTCCTTGTATTTGTGTCGTTGGAAGCCTAATGCAGATCTCATTAAGGAGAAACCCACAAAAGTTCCAATTTGGGTTAAGATCTGGAGTGTTCTGATGTCGATGTATACTCATAAAGGGTTGGGATACATTGCTAGTGTGGTTGGTACTCCTCTATCACTTGATAAGGCCACTAAGCAACGAACCCGTATCAATTTTGCCTAAGTCTGTATTGAAGTACATATGGAAAGGGTCCACGATCTCCCTAATTCAATAGTTGTTGAAGTGGAAAATGATGTGTCTATGGATGTTATGTTTGAATATCCTTGGTTGCCTACATAGTGTACAACATGTAGAAAAGAGGGGCACACAAGTAAGGATTGCACTAGGTAGGTTTTTAGTAAGTAGCCCCTTAAACAAGAATGGAAAGTAGTGTTTGGGAAGGGGAAAAAGCCTTTGGAGGATAAGGATTCTATTGCGTTAGCTGAATCTGGTTACACTTAGACTCTTTTGCCTTCCAAAGATATTCAAATGATTCAATTCCCTCCTATTCCGGCTACTTAGCCATCACATCAAGCTTCGCTACTTTGTGAGAATGTGAATGAGAATCCTTTTGCAATCCTTACTCAAAGTGTATCTGACTCTATGCCAGATGTTGGACAAGTTGTGGCACCTAGAAGATCTAGAGTAGCTTCCCAAGGGATGGCTACACTAACTAAAACCTTAATTCCAAAGCAAAGGCAGTCGAAGAAAAGTGTGAATTCCTCTAATGAGGTGTCATCCTCACACCTAAAATGAAGCTACTTTTCTAGACTATCAGAGGCATAAATATGCTTAGTAAACAAAAAGACTTGAAAAAATATTTAGTGTAGTATTCTACAAATATTGTTTGTTTACTGGAAACCCATGTTCAGTAGCATAAGTTTTTAGAGGTATGCAAAGTTCTATTTCCTAGTTGGTCTGTTTTGCACAATTGTGAATATGCAAGATTAGGTAGAATTTGGATATTCTACAAGGATCACATTTAAATTCTTACATCAGTCATGAACCACCAAATTATCCATGGTCATGTGTTTGACAAGCTCTCAGGCAAATATTTTTTTCTCAGTGCTGTTTATGCTGATTCTTATAATGAAAATGTGAGAGAGAGATTATGGGCTGACCTGGTACTAATGAGTAAAGCCCTCCCTCTTGTCCCCTGGATTGTAGGTGGTGATTTTAATGAGATTAGAGCCATTCATGAAAGGACTGATTAGCATTCTCTTGCTTGCCTTCCTGTAGAGTTAGAAGTCTTCCTAATAGTTTGAATGAGGCTGAATTGGTTGATTTACCTACTACTGGTCTTATCTACACCTGGTCAAACAAAAGGTTTGAAGGTCTCATTGCTAGGAAGCTTGATTGATTGATGGTTAATGAAGCTTGGCTAGATACTTATCCAAACACTAAAGCTAGAGTTCTCTTTCTAGGATGTTTTGATCACAATGCAAGGCTTGTAGAGATTGCAACACCATTATGTGGCACTTGGAGGAAACTCTTCAAATTTTTTAGCTTCTAGACTAAGAATAATGGATTTTTGGCAATAGTAAAGGAAACATGGGATAATTTTCACATCTTAGGTTGTTTCATGTTCCAACTCTACAAGAAACTCAAAGCTTTGAAATTTGCCCTGAGAAAGCTAAATAAGGAAAACTATGCTAATCTTCTTGGTAAATTGTAATAGGAAAGAGCCAAATTACATGCTTTGTAGACAAACTTATTAACCTATCCACATGAAGATCTAGTTCAAGTTGAGAAGGATCAAGCACGGATAGTAGCCAATTTACAATTAGCAAAGGAAATGTTTTATAAGCAAAAATCAAGGATCAAATGGCTAAGTGAAGAAGATGGCAATATAAACTACTTTCACAAAATAGTGAAGGTTAAGAGGAGTAGGAGCACTGTCAAAGAACTTGTAGATTCAGAAAATAAGAGAATTACTACTCTTCCTGAGCTAGAGTCTGAGGCCATAAATTTTTACAAGAATCTATTAAGAGTCTCTAATCCACATTGCACCAGTGTTGATGAAACTTGGCTCAAAGGCCTGTTGACTGTCAATTACCTCATCACATACAAGAATCTCTCATTAAACTTGTTTTTAAGGATGAAATAAGGAATGTGGTTTTTTCCAGTCCTAGTAACAAGGCCCCAGGACTTGATGGTTTCACTTCAGAGTTTTACAAGGCAACTTGGTTTATAATAGATGAGTTGGTTGTCAAAGCTATTCAGGAATACTTTGCTTCAAGTAAACTTCTACGGGAGATGAATTTTACAATAATCTCTCTTATTCCTAAAGTTCTTAATACTTTTAGAATGTCTGAATATAGACCCATATCTTGCTACAACTTGGTCTATAAATTCATAACAAAGATTATTGCCAACCGATTGAAGACTTGCTTGCCACTATTTATCAGTAGAAATTAGTGTGCCTCTATTGAAGGTAGATTAATGTTTGAGAATGTCTTTCTAGCACATGAGCTAGTTAAGCATTATCATAAAGACAACCTTAGTCTTAGATGTGCACTTAAGATAGACATTATGAAGGCTTTTGACTCTGTTTGTTGGAATTTTTTATTCCAAATATTGATTGTCTTGGGGTTCCTTTCACAATTTGCAAATTGGATAAAGACTTGCATTACTACTGCAATGTTTTCTATCTTGTTCAATGGGGATTTGATTGGATATTTCCCTGGGAAAAAGGGAATTTGGCAAGGTGATCCATTGTCTCCATACATTTTTGTTATTTGCATGGAAGCTCTTTCTAGACTACTAAATAAAGTTGCTTCTAAGGGTCAAATTGCTTATCATCCAAAGCGTGCTAGAGTGTAGCTTGCTCATTTATGTTTTGTGGATGATTTGTTCATCTTCACTGATGGCAGTGCTACTTCCTTATCTGCTATTGATGAAGTTTTGAAGGCTTTTTATACTCACTCTAGTCTGAAAGTTAATTACAGCAAATCTAAAATTTTTTGTTGTGGCTTATCTAATTTTGCTATTGCTGCTTTGAGTGGTGCATATGGGTTTAAGGTTGGAACACTTCCAACAAAATATTTGGGCATCCCCTTGGTCGTTTCCAACTCTCTAAGAAGGAGCTTAGGCCATTAATAGCAAAAATTATTGACGGAATGTCTTCTTGGACTACCAAACATCTCTCTTTTGCAAGATGACTATAACTAATATCCTCTATTATCCAGGGAGTTACAAATTTCAGGTCTTCCATTTTCATCCCCCCAAAGATGGTCATTAGAGAAGTTGAGCAAAAATGCAATGCTTTCCTCTAGAATAACACTACTAAGACAGCTAGAGGGGCTAAAGTGAAGTGGGAATCTTTATGTTTTGCTAAACAAGAAGGTGGTCTAAGTATTAAAGGACTTGAATTATGGAACATTTCTTGCATAACGAGATACATTTGGATGATTTTTTTCTCAAGCAAATTCAATATGGGTAGCCTGGGTGCATGAGTATGTTAACGACCACTTACAATTTCAAATTTTTAAAATGGAAGGAAAAATAATGAAAATTTATTAAGTGTGAAGCGTATAAACAAAAGAAATCGCCACTCGTTCAAATTATAAGGTAAAACAAGTTACCTTAAAATGGGTTTGCATAAAGATCAAAATTCGGGATTCAGATAGCAGTGAAGAAGGACATACGTGCATCTAACAATCTTTCGTTTAAACACGGTTACATACTTTAATATTGAGGTTTTAATTCAACTTATTCATTATCTTTATATTTAGGTCTTAATAAGCAAACTTTAAAAAAAAGGATGGATGAAATTGCAACATTTTAAAACTTTTGGACTAAGATGAACAAAATCCAAGACATGCATGCACCATAAATACAAATAAAAATTAAAGGGACTAGTTTGATTTAAATTACAAATTGAGGGATTAATTTGACAATATTTAAAAATTTGGGACTAAATTGCTTAATTAAAAAAGTTGTGCGTGAAATTTAAAACATACAAAGATAATTTTGACTTTAATCAAAATTAAAAGAAATTTAATGATTTAAGTTAATTAATTACGTTTTATTAGTTTAATTAAATAACTAAATTAATTTTAATTAATTATATTTATTACCTTTAATTAGAATCATTAAGGTCAATGAATATAATTAATTTATTTTAATTAAAATTAATTAATTTCATTAATCATAAATTAAACTGATTAACCTAATTAATTAATTATTAATTATACTTGCACCTTGCCTAATTAATTAATTATTAATTATACTTGCACCTTGCCTCAAGGGCAAGGCCAAATGCCACCGGTGCATTTCTGCATTTCC